AAGGGAGCTCTGGTGGCCTAGTGGCAAGAAGCTGCACTGCAATCCCAGAGGTACGCAGTTCAAATCCACCAGATGCTCTGCTGGAGAAGGAGGGGGCAATCTCCACCTGTACAAGTCAGATCTGATTTGATGGTACATGTAAAATAATATAATTAAAAAAATAAAATAAACATGACTCTTTCCCCCACCTCTAAAGTATACAAAAGGTTCTACTCCCTTTGTTAGCAAAGACATTGGCTTAGTGACACCTTGCTTTTCCTTGCCTGCCTTTGCAATGTTTCCTCTGTTAAATCTTGTTTTGCTTATATAAGCAAGAACTGACACCTGTTTTACTATCCTTAATTAACAGGACTGTTAAAAGAGTCAGAATTAGGTAAAAAGTGGGTGGGGGAAATATTAGAATTAACTCATGTCTGGTTAAACATCACTTCAGCCCTACATGCTTGGTAAAGCTGACCACCTCATCCCTTCCCTAGGAACCTAATTAGTGTTTTAAGTGCATGAATAACTTCCAAGAAATAAGACTGCCCACCAAACTTTGAATTCCTCATGGTATCTTTTCATTGGCCCAGACTCCAGCCCTGAGGCACACCCAGATGATGAGGCCATATAAATATATCATATCACCTCATCTCAGTGACACATTCCATTAATCCCTTTCTGCTGACCAGTCCTGTTCCACTGGTAATGTTGTTAGGTGATGCTGCGTTGAGTATGACTCATAGAGACACTAAGAACAACAGATCTAAGCTCTGTCCAATCTGGTGCCATCTTCACAATCTCTGACACACTCAAAGCCATTGCTGCAGTCACTGTGTCCATCCACTTGGCTGAGGGTTTTCCCTTTCCTTCCCCATCCCTTCACCTTTCCTCTTCAGGGAATGTCCCTCTTCAAGAATTAACCCTTCCTATCAACATGCCCAAAATATGTGAGACAAAACTTTATCATTTTTGCACTCTGCCTGCACCTTCTCCAAGACATATGTTTGTTCTTTGGCAGCCTATGAGATATTCAGTACTTCTCTCCATTACCACAAGTAAAAGACATCAATTTTTCTTCTGTCATCTTAGTCATTGTCCAGCTCTCAGATGCATAGCAAGTAACTGAAAAGACCATGGCCTGAATCAGGTACATCATGGTTCTCAAACTGACATCATTGCTCTTCAAAAATTTGGAGAGTTCTCTGACATCAGACTTTCCCAGTGCAATAAGTTTCCGGACTACTGGTACCAAGTGTATTGACCGTGGATCCAATTACGATAAAGTTATATCAATCTTTCCTCCAACGTGAATTCTATTTCATGGCAACCTTCGTGTTAAGAACCTTAAATGGATGTTGTTGTTATGTGCCTTTGAGTCGCCTGTGATTCACAGCCACTCCTAAGTACAGCATCTGTGAAGCGTGCCCTTTCCTGTGCCAGTCTCACCGATTCCGTCACATCTCCCCCATTTGCCCAATTACCATCTCCATTTTACAGACGAGGAAATCAAGGCGACAAGTGGTTGCCTAAGTTGGCCAGCTTCACACCCAGAGTCCGCTTTCTCCAACAGCAGAGAGCGCGGCACCCAGAGGTCCCATAGAACTACCCTTCCCGTGTGGCTGTGCGGCATCTCGCGAGAACTGGCTTAAACGTGGCTGGCGGGAACTTGGTTACCTGCGAGCAGGGAGGCAAGCTCTTGGTGACTGGGGCTGCCTGGCCGCAGCTACCGGGAGAGTGCGCCGCTGACAGCTGACAGCCGAGGCGATGGACGACAGCCAGAGCTCTGACAGCGAGGCCACGACGCGCACGCTGCTGAGGCAGGTGCTGGACTCGGCGGTCCCGCTCACCCCGCTGCGGCCTCGGAGCGCCCGGGCTGGGTACGTGCGCCGAAGCCTCGGGCTCGGGGGTGGGGTCTGCGTGGGGCTTCCGCTACCCCTGTTAGGAGAAGGAAAATCAATCTCGGGACGAGGTGGAGCCCCAGGGTCTGATAGCCCAATTGGCTGCACTGGCTTTTTAGGGTTTTGTTTCTCGCCCGAGGCCTTCCGGCAGTCGGGTTTCAGGTTTTGGGTCCCACACGGGTCCTCACTTTACTAATTAAAGTGGAGCCCAGAATACGACGCCCCCTCCCGCCCTCTTCTACCTGGAATCGGAATCACGCACGGCTGACCCTCCAGCGGGTTTTTCAGAGGCGCTTAATCCCACGGGAGGAGAGGGCCCATTTTTCTCCCTCTCGCCGAGCAGTTGATGAATTCGAACCGCTTGCTGCCTTTGGGTTGGCAATGCAACTCCGTACCATTACGCGACCTGAGACCGAGACCAGTCTGTTATCTAACCTAATTAACTTCAGATCAGGCATTTGCCCTGGGCTTCTCCGCCTCCCGGTGGTCCCCACCTTTCCTGGCCCTTTCTGTCCCCATAGTTCCCAGCTGAGAGATGGCAAAGGAGCTGGAGGGCGCAGTTTAGGCTGAAGCCTGGAGACAGGACCTGGTGCATTACTTTACTGGGGAGCAGGAGACGTGGCCTGGCTTGGTGGGATTGTGGGTGCGCGAGTTCGCCTGGTGCACCCGAGGGTATGGACCTGCCGGATTGAGGCCATTCGTTCCAGGTTTAGGCCTAGGATCGGTGAGGTAGACCCTGGGAACACTTAGGTGACTCTGGAACGTGAGGAGGATAGGACTGGTGAGGCCAAGGGTGAGGTGACCCGTTTGGAGGTTGCAGTCAGACCCTGAAAAGTACTTAAAAAAATTGTAAAAGATCCTTCTTGGATCATTATTTTATTCTCTGGAATGGATATCCTACCGATTGCTCCTGCTAATCTAGGTAGCAAATACACATTTATATTTATGATTCCTGTCACAGCTCTGGTGACATAGGGCTTGTGTGGGATTAATCAGAAGATCTACTCCATAGGAGGAAGCTGGGCAGTCATCTAACAATCTACAGCTTGGAAACCCTGTAGAAGGTTGTTCTTAGAACTGACTTGGTGACAGTGGGGTTTTGTTTTATAGCTATGTTAATCCGATTCCCTGTCTTTTCCCATACCCTAGGGAGCCTTTTCATCCATACTGCTGCTGACACAGGGCTAGGAACAGGGGCTATGAGAAAGGCAAATCATTTCTGGGTCCATGGCCCTGAGGGAGGAATCCCTCAGTGGGCAAACAGTTAAGTACTGACCGATAACCAAAAGCTTGGTATTTTTAACACCTAACGCCTCAGTGGCAACCTGGGAGAAGTGCCTGACAATGTGCTTCTGAAAGGACACAGACTTGAGAACCGGATGGAGCACAGTTCTACCTTGCAACACATGATCTTGCCTTTAGTCAGAATCCCTTCGTTGGCACCTGGTTTCGGGTTTGGCCCCGAGGGAAAAGGGCTTCTCATCCAGATCCCTGGAGAAGGCATGTCTCTGTGGCCTCTCTTTCCCTCCCCATGCAGTTCTCAGAGCCGCAGGTCCTCACGGATTGCCCAGAAAACTCTGCTTGAAACGCCTTCCTCCAGGAGTCAGAGGAGCCAAACAAGAGCAGCTGCCAGGCGACATTCACATGGAGCCAGGGTATGTGCCCAGCTACTGACCACCACAAGGCCGGCCTTGGCTGCCCTTGGGATATTCCAGGTCTAGATCTTCCCTGGGACCTACTTAGTGGGGTTCCTGAGGTGAAAACCAAACTAGTTGCGTAGTGATTTTATCCACAGGCTATTGACAAACAATCCCATGTCCAAGCCAGTGGGAACCTGGAGGATCAGACCCCTAGGACGCTGCTGAGGAACATTCTCCTGACTGGTGAGTCTGGCTGCTGGTCTCACTCATGCTGTCCCTCATTCGGGGCAGCCAGCCCTACCACCCCACCCTCTGTTTGCTGTTTCTTCAGCCCCAGAGTCTTCCATCGTGATGCCAGAGTCTGTGGTGACACCAGCGCCGGCACCGAGCCCACAGACGTTCCAGCCCTCCACATGGGAGAGCAGTTGGGGCAGGTGCACATAAACTCCCCTTTGGCTGTGCAGCCCTGGTTGGGGGTCTCCTGAGGGGTGAGCCTGGCCTGTCTGAGATCAGTTCCATCTTTGTAGCCTAGAGCTGCAACTTCCTGAGATTGAGCCCCACACAACCTTGGCTTCTGGGCTGCTGGCCCCTGTCCGGAAGAAGCAGAGGGTGAGACTGTCAGTGTTTCAGCAGGATGTGGACCACGGGCTGCCTCTCTCCCAAGGTGAGGGCCTGGATGCCGCCTGTTGCTGTCTCTTCCCTCCTGCCCTCTGGAGAGACTGAGGGGGCTTTGAGGGAGTGTTCTCATTGGCACAGCTAAGTTACCATGGTTTCTTCTTTTTCATCCTCTCGCTGGACATTGGCAGAGTCACCTGGGAATGATGATGCCACTCCTCTCACTTCCAGGTGCTGTTGCCTTGTTTTAGGAATTGTTAGACTTGGGAGGGAGGTGCTGACTGCGGTGAATCTGGTCATATCCCTTCCTCCCTGTCAGTTTTAGCCTCTTGCATGGTGGCTTGTCCAAAAGATAAGAGCCCCCAAGGAGACGGAAATCCTCTGGGGAAACGGCCTCAGATACCTAACTTTCCTTTGTGCTTCCCTCCCGCCAGCACCTTCAACCTGACCTTCACTGTGCCTGTCCAGTCCCAGTCTGTGCAGAGGCCAGGTCTGGCCCGTAGGCCTCTTACCCGCCGACCTGTAGACGTAGGTGCCTTCCTGCAGGATCTGCAGGATTCTTCCACAGCCTTGCTTTCTCCAGGTGAGGTTGAGGTTTCCATCTTTCGATCTTGGGGTAAAGCTCTCCCCACAAGGCGGGAGGTATGCTCAGTCAATGACCTACTTTCCTCTTGTGGGTCAAGGACCGTGGGCACACCTGGTCTGTGGGGTGTTTCTGCTTTCTTCCTGTGGGTGCCATGTACCTTGTTTAGGTTCAGAATTAGGCCTTCCCTGTATCCCTGGACCATCCTATTATGGAGCTACTGGGATGCGGGCAGGAAAGGAGTTAGGACCTTGTTGGGCTGTTGAAAGGGGCTGAGTTTCACGATAAGCTGGCAAGTAAGAACTGGTCTGGGAGGTTAATTCTAGAAGATACATCAGTGGCCACCAGGGTAACAGCAGGGTTCTGGGCAGAAGAAGCAGAGTGAAAAGCAAGAGAGTGGGTGTGGCATGAGTGAGCAGTGTGTGGGGGGGAGAGCACATTATGGAGGCCAGGGATTACCAGGCAGATTAGACTCAGGGTGGGCTGGGCCAAGGCACTAGGTAGTCTTCTCCCTCTGCAAGCTGCTTTGGTAGACTTACAGGGCCAATTGCCCAGCCGTAGTGGCTCCAGGTAGCAACAAGTGTACTTGAACTGTACTGAGTACCACTTGATCCTTGGTCCCCAGGTAGCAGCCACAGAACCTCTGTTGCTGTCCTGCCTAAAGATGTTACATTGGAGGATACCCAGCCCTTCTCCCCACCCTTGCTTGCCCATTCCTCTCTTATGCGCCACTCCTTGCCTGGTCATCTTCACACTGGAGCTGAAAAGGTTGAGAGGATTGTCAGTCGTAGGAGCTGGAGTGGACCTGGACTACAGAGTAAGAGTGAGTATGTGGGCCAAGTAGCCTAGAAGCAATCTTAGCCAGGGCAAGAGAAGAGTTGGCATGGGTGGTTTTCTCTTCGTTACAGTATATGTGCTCCAAGAGCCTCTGGAGCACAATGCCAGCTCAGTAGCCTGCACACCCGGGCTCTGGGGCTGTGTCTGGCTGCCTCTCTTCCCAGTGGGCTGGGCTGAGCTGGATTGGTTGGATTTTGCTATTCCATCTTTGCCTTTCTGAGAGCGACAGCTTTGAGCTGTTGCTCTCCAGCTCTCTTCTCTCTCCTTCATTCAGGTCCTTATAAACCAGCCCAGCTTCTGGCAGCAAGGGCAGACGTGAACACCATTTCTGTGGGCTCCCCACACACTAGCACTGGTATCTCTGGAAAAGACAGAGTAGAGCCCATAGGGGATGATGGAGCTGAGCATTCAGAGGAAAGGAGAGGAGAAGAAGAAGGTGTTGGTGTGAGGGAGGGGGGGGAGCCTGTAGGGGATGGAGCTGAGCATTCAGAAGAAAGGCGGGAAGACGAACTTGTAGATGTGAGTGAAGTGCAGCCTGTAGGGGATGGAGGTGAGCAAGCAGAGGAAAGTACAGGAGATGAGGCAGGTGTGAATATGAGTGAAGTGCAGCCTGTA